AATGATTTTCGGTGAAATGATCGTCGGCGAAATATTACGTCGGTGAAATGATTTTCGGCGTTATGATTGCCTCCCGTCCATTTTTATGTATCTGATCGAAATGGCATAACTTCGTAATTGATTGATTGTTAAAATTTGTCAGGGCTAAGATAAGAAAAATGAACAGAGATAAACAGCGCGTTATCAAGGATAAACGTATAACGATGAAACGTACGTTATTCTTTATGCTCAATTCGCTTATTATTTGGGTGTAGCATGGCATAGAAAGGCAAGTGTTTTCAGCAAGATTAGTATATTGCGAATGCTTTGTGTGACATATGAGACGAGCCTACCTAGCAGTCGACGTTGTAAGAATTTATTATTATTAGGTATACTGTTTATTATTTCGGATAACATACACAGTTTTCTTGCCCATTACAGTATTGTCATATAAGACAAGAGTCACAGCGTTATTTCCAAGCTACAATACGTCGGTATGCAGTATAAACAAAATTTTATTTTCAATAGAAAAACATAGAACTTCAATCTCGATAACTTTTCAACAAATAAGGCTACGCTCATAAAGTCTGTACTAATACATACTCCAACGCCTGTCCCACAAGAAAACGGGGAACTATTTTGATTTAAATAAAAGTGAAGAAATATTCTTCAAAACACAGTTTCGTATGCAAACCCATAACTTTACCAAGGAAAACGAAAAGTATCCTCATTTTTTTTGTAGGAAAGTTTTACAATATGTATCAGTACAGACTTTATGAGCGTAGCTTGTTTTTCGCTGTATGTTTGGTTATTGAAAGTGATCGGTAAATGGTTCACTGTTATTTAATCCACAAGCCTCAACCTAATAAAATAATTGGTAATGTTTATATTTACTTGGGAGGCTTGCATTGTGCATGGGCGCTCAAGCATAATATGATGGTAACCAATATTTGGACTTGTTGTTTATTAGAATTTCGCAAATCGATATTGGCAACCCATTGTTTAGTAGATTTTGTAATCAGTATCACAAAATCTAACAAAGGGTCCATATCATTTCACCGACAATCATTTCACTGACAATTAATTACCTAAAAAGGATAATTTTGAAATAATGTTGGTGAACATTTGTCGGTGAAATGAAATGATATACGGACCCTTTGTTAGATTTTGTGATCTGATTACAAAATCTAGTAAACAATGGGTTGCCAATATCGATTTGCGAAATTCTAATAAACAACAAGTTTCCCAATATGGATTACAAAATTCAAGTAAACAACGGGTTGCCAATGTCGGGTTTACAAAATTCTATAGCAAACAACGGGTTGGCGTACAAAATCGGAGTGCATGATATATTCTTACACAGATTCTGAAATTAAAATCTGTCTGAAAGGTATACTTTATATGGAATTCCCAGTCACCGCTATTGTCGTGCCAAATAAATCCTTTGATGTAATCAAATCCTATATAATAAACGCAAGTGTTTCCCTCATCATTATACTCACCCGATGCTCGATATGGCCGGTAGTAATTACCAATCTATTCATGGAAGTTATATATACAACACTCCATCCGACCAGCATAGCATGGACTCTAACCATACAAACAGTCTTTTAAATCAACCAATTACGAATTCAGGTTACGTGGACATGGATCAACCAATATGCATGGATTCCAATGGCATCTATTCCTACCCACCCGGTCAAGCGTATTCGCAACCTCCTAGTCAAGTTAATCTTCCTTCTGATACCAGGCCCCTCGACAATCATAACGTCTACAACGGTGGATATACCCAGTCGATCAATTACAATGCCGCGACTCATTCCCTCCCCCAAACAGCAACACCTATGTCTGCTCATTCTAACAATGCTGGCGTGACGACAAACGCCGCCAGTCGTGGATACATAGTCATTATTGTAAATGTAGACATTAACCTGGAAAGGTTATTGTCGATTATTCGGTCATGTGAGAGGGAAGAAAGAGGATAATGTAATTTGTTTCTTTAAGCTTGTATTACATTTTTTGTGTGCTTTTTTCATACTTTGCTGTATTGAACTGAGATACTTTTTCATATGTTATGGATGTGGGAATGACTCTTACACTTATTCATATTGTCCGATATTTTTCGTACTCTAGTTACATTTCTTTATTCGTATAGACTATTATTCGTAAATGCAATATAAAGTATCGTAAGGTTGTTTATTTAAACAGCCCCAGTAATAGTCTGTTTAAAAACTAAAAGACAAGTTTTGCAGCTGAACAAATAAGTTAGCTTATTATACTTGTTAAAAGTGGTCGGACCGACAAGTTGATTTCATGAGAATAGTCTTCTTATGTCATAATATAATTGTCTTCTCTGTTTAATTTAGTCCCTCTTTCTTAAAATGCATAGCCTTTGAATAAAGACTCATCTACCTTAATTCCGTTATTTGACTGATTCATATTGATGATATTGAGAATCTTATAGCAAACCTTCACTATCCACAGCATTCATATGCTGATGTGGGAAAACCTTCACACGCCGAACCACTTTTACCAGACATGCTCACGCACGCGATCCTTCGTAGATTTTTTAACATCTTTTTTACTTTGAATTTGGGGTTTACTTCGGTCGCCCCCTTTTTTTTCATTAAAAAGATGTACGTATTGTTATGTGTATGACAATGAAATACTCAGCCGCATATCATCCGATCACCAATCAACCCGATCTGTACGTTGCCGTTCTAGTTCACCTGGACCTCAAGTGTGCTACCACTACTACACAGTACAGTGTCCGCAAACCTACCGGTTATGGTCGACCAGCAACTTACTCCGACATTACCAACAATTATTTCCATTACACATCGATCAAACTCAGTCGTCATGCCACAACAAGATGTAAACAACGTGACAGATATGGTTATTTATCTGAGACCCCGTTAGGTATGGAAAGTGAACGAGAGATGTTATACTTTAACAATAGAATGCCTGGACTTAGCATCCGTTAAGTGCCATGCGTGTCGTTAAATGATGATAAAAAAAATAACATTTGGTCTGTCCGGATAATTTGTAGTACACCTCTCCAATTTTTTTCTTCAAAAAACCTCCTTTTTATCATTCATTATTTTTTTTATTAATTGACACTTTCCTTTTATCAGACTCCTCGCTTTTTTCTTCCTTTAGCAAATTTTGTAATTGTTCTCTATAACCATGTTCAATCATTGTCGTATTTAGATAAAAAGGCCAGGCTTGGAGGGGAGGGAAGGAAACCACTAATTTTACCACTTTCGTGCATGCACGATTTTCCCTAGAACTCCCTGCAATTTTATTTCCATATTTATCAATTAAGCAAAAAGAGAATCACTCACTTTTTTATTTGCCATAAGATTTTTTTAAAGCAAAAAAATTTTTTTCCTCCATTGAATATTACGCCGATAAAACATATACACTTATACGCTTTCATGTAAGATATAACTTCCAACATTTTAACATCAACCATACAGTCATTTAATATGCATTTTATGAAACAACAATCGGTTGCCATAGTTTAGTAGTAAAGCTGACAATACATAAAAATAATAGACACTAAAGAGGACAAAAAATAAAAATACAAATAATAATTTCCAAAGGGTGTCCTTAACTTACACCCCGGGGGTGTAAGTTAAGTTCGTACACCCCCCCACTATACGAACGGGTTAGTGTATAGAGAGCTCAATCAACTTATCAATTGGATATTAAGGACTAGTACCCA